TTGATTTTTGGCAGATTTTTTTGGAGACCCTACAGATAGTCCTCATCTTATGACCAAGACTGAGACCAGAATTTCCATTGCCATGCAAGGTAATTGTTAAGTGAATCGTGACCTTTTTTTTTGCAACGGTGGTTAAGTGAATCCTGTAGTCGTTAAGCAAATCCAGCAACTTGAACCATGATATTTGTCAATTAACTCTTCCCTGGTGTGATTCCAAGCTGCCGTGAAAAGACAGACAGGAACTTTCCACCATGTGGTCCAACTAAGGGATAGGCAGTCAATGGGTGTCATCACACATCCATGCATTCCATGATCCCTTATGTACATATCAGCCCTGTTCCGGTCGATACCAGCAGGCAGTCACTGACATTCCAAGCGCAAAAACAATCATTATACCATTTGAACAATTAATTGTCTTAGTCATCCTCTTTTTGGAAAACCTAAATTGCACTTCTAAGATCACCCATCCCATCCACCTGCCAAGACAGGCCCAATGTAAACAGAGGAATACGCCAAAAATGGAGTCAGAGGTCCAGGGCAAACATTTCTGGAGCACAGAGGGAGAAGAGGAATGGAATGGAGACATTCCTGAAAGATCCCATCCTTCTATGGAAGTGTTTTCCCTGCGTGCTGGCTGGGGAATTCTGGGAGCTGAAGTTCACACCTCTTAAACTTGCCAAGGTTACAAAACACTGTTCTATGGTGGCTGATGGTGAGGTAGCCCAAAGAGCTATTTATAAAAATTATCCTGCATTTTCTATAGAATGTGATTGTGTGTGTGTGTGTGTGTGTGTTGCATTTGTGCTGATAAATACAAATGTAACAGTAAAAATACTGGCTTTCTGTCTGGATGGTCTCTTGTGATGAGCCGATAGACAGAGAAAGGAAGCAGTATGCTTCCTCCCATATTTGGGCATACCAGGGGTTGTGTGACTCAATACATACATACATACATACATACATACATACATACATACATACATACATACATACATACATACANTTAGGTTTAGGGGTTTGGTTTAGGGGTTAGGTTTAGGGTTAGGTTTAGGGTTAGGTTAAGGTTAGGTTTAGGGTTAGGTTTAGGGTTAGGTTAGGGTTAGGTTTAGGGTTAGGGTGCTGAGCGCTTCGGAAGGCCCCGATCTGCCCTCCGGGGTTATGTCGTCGCGCTAGGGTCGCCTTTTTCCTTAGCACTTCGTACGGCGCAGATTTGCCCTCCGCGCTTATGTCGGCGCGGATAAGGGCTTCGTGGTTTTGTCGGTGAACCCCTATGGAGACCAGAAACGGGCCAGTTTCCGGTCTTCCCGAATTTTCGGGAGGCCCGTTTTTTGCCCTCCCGAGCGCCCTGCACTTACCTGCATCCACAACGGGCTGTGTGGGGACAGGGCCAGCCGGGAGTGGGATTTGGAGGTACTCTGAACTGCACTGAATCTTAGCTAGAGCGTCTCCCAACCCCCTGCGAATCCCCAGCATCTTTCTCTCTCACACACACGGCTCTATCCAATAAATACCATCAGACTCTCTTCACACTGAAAACACGCATGTCAGAAACATCAGGCAAACGTTTTCTCTCAGACACCCAGAGGTTTAAGCGAAACACTGGAGATGGAAGAGCTAGGAGGAGATACTGTACCATGAATAGTCTTCCCTCCCGGAAAGTTAGAATCCTGGGCCTTCATTGACAATGAGATATTCTTTTTTAGATTATTTCTGAAGCAACTTCAAACACACAAATACATATTTGGTATTCTGGCCAGGAATAACTTTGGGTTGCATGAACATATCAGTTACCCATTCAAGAGTCTGGATCTGATTTTATTGGAGTGCCAAGTTCTAAATAAAGGGTAGGGAATCTGCAATGCTTCAGACAAATTTGGAGTGTTGTTTTCAATGACAGAGGCTGATGGAGGCAGGAATCCAATGGGAGCGCATGATACATCTTTCTGTTTAAAGGGGGAACAGGAGACTGGTTTTCCCTTAGAAGAATGGAAACGGGGGCTCTTCAATTAGCTTCAAATTCTTGCCAATTATCTCTTCCCACAGGGAGGTCTCCTGCCTTGTAACTTGGCTACTAATTTCTAATCTAGATGGTGGCGACACGGAGGAAATCAAAAAAGGCAAGATGGCAGTAACAACAACACAATTGAAACCCCAACGCTTTCAGACTTGTGCACTCACAAAAGGGCTGCAATGCTTGGATTGCAATTTCACAACCATCGTTTGCTTACCTTATTTTTCGGAGTATAAGACGCTCCGAAATATCAGATGCACCTAGCTTTTGGGGAGGAAAACAAGAGGGGGAGAATCTTCCTCTGCCTCCCAGCAAGTTGCCTCCTTGTAGCACACAGCAAACAGTACCGACGATAGACACTGTTTGCGGTGTTACGTTTCAGATTATGCTTGTACAGATGCTGTTAAAATTGATGTGCTTTCTGGAAGTATACATTATTCTCTGCTATTTAAAAGAAGATACAATAGCACTGGGCCTCTTCAGATCAAGCATTTATATTGTCTAGAACAATAATAAAGCACCTTTTAAAAATAAGTCTACTAATTTGAACATTCTATAGGCATTTACAATTACCTCCTTGCAGCAAACAGTCTGCTTCAGTTTAGCCTGATTAGTACAAGAAAAAAACAATCTGCTTCTGCCTCCCGGCAATTTGCCTCCTTGCAGCAAACAGCAAATAGCCCGTTTCACTTTCACTTTGAGCACAGGCCTCCCGATGATCAGCTGTTTCAGGCTGCAGGGATTGCCATAGCCTGTTGTCCCCTCTGTAAGCCTCATTTTCCCATTTGCTGCAAGGAGGTAAATTTCTGGGAGGCAAAGGCCAAAGGGTGGGGGCTGGTGTGTGGACGGGGCTACATTCGGTGTATAAGATGCACCCAGATTTCCACCCTCTTTTTTTTTGGGGGGGGGGGGGAAGTGCATCTTATATTCCGAAAAATATGGTATTTTGAGCCAAACTCCATATGCCTCTGAATCTTGGCCTATCTTGGCATTGCTTCCCCCTCCCCATAAGCAGGGGTGGGATTTTCAGCGATCGGTAGTTGAAAGGACTGGCTGGCCCCGCCCACCCTGCTCCGCCACTTCCAGGAGTCTCCACGCAACCTGTTTTGGATGCCAGGTAAGTGCAGGGCCCACATGGAGGCTCTGGGAGGGCAAAAAATGGGCCCTGCACTTTTCTAACGTTGCTAACATTTTTCAATCACACCCCTGTCCATAACTATTTGTCAAGAAGGGTACATTATGTCAGAGATCATAAAGATATTTCCGATCAAATTTGCCACTTGCGCATTTCCCATGTCTTTTATTATTATTATTTTTTGTAGTGGCATCTTTTATCTACCTTGCTAAAGAAAATGTGTGAACAATGGTGCTCAAAACGAACGTAGCAAAAGCTTTGTCTGAAAATGAAGGCCTGGCTTGCTCCCTTTCCTGGTTTTACAATGTTCTTTTGAATCTTTACAGGCTCTGTCTGACCCAATTAATGCCCTGCAGCAATCATCGCTGCTAATAAGCTGGAGAGAAAGGATTTTTTTCAGCTAAGCACAACATTTCTACAAGGACAGGAAGATCAGCCTGAGAGCTCTCAAAAATGGCTTTGAAGCAATGACTAAGCCGGGTGCTTTTTCTTCACAAACATTGAGCTCATCCCTTTTACCCAGCTGGAAATTTCTCACATTACAGGCAATTTCAGAGCATCTCTGCTTTAAAGGGATGTTCCTTGAAAGGCAGAAGGGAAGAGTTTGGTGTGTTTCCCACAGGCTGGGCCAGATGCCCATATGGGCAACTTCAGATACCGATGTCCGGCTTGAGACGGTCCGTCGCAAAAAGCCGCTCTAGAATGTTCTGTGGTGTCAGGAGCGTTGTAGAGAGAACAATGATCTGGAAAGCAAAAGATACAGTATATGCGTCTATGGATAGGATGACCAGCTTTTGTGGCCTCCATCAGTTAATGGAAACCTCCAGTGATGAAGAGTTGTGGTTCTGTGAGCGAATAAACTAACACGGTTATCTCCTCAGTGTACAATTCTTGCGTGGCACGACAAAACCGCGCTCGACTAAAGCGCGCCCGATTAAACCGCGTCGCTGACGTCATCAACAGGGCGACAACA